CCCCCCCCCTAGAAAGTTTTCTGCGGGCGCCCATGGCGCCAGCACTGTGCTGCTATCTATACCACTTCACGTCATAAGGTCTCATTTATTGGCAATTGATGGGTCAGGAGGACTATTAGACCCAGTGGCCTAGGCATAGGTGTTGCATGGCGTGGGTCATTTGTGTGTAGGGGGGGAGGGGCGTGTGTGGACATTTTCATGAGTGAGGGGCGGCAAAATCAAGGTTATGCCCTGGGCGTGCGTAATTCTAACTACTCCAGCTCCCCAACGACACCCCTCAATCTTGTCACGGTTATTGGAATGACGCCACATAACCAGAGGTTCGCAAGCACATTTATACCCACCAATTTCCCACAGCCAGATTTGGGTTTTTGGGTGTTTTTGTGTGTGAATGGGGCATGAGGGATATCAAGTTACGGCCATATACGGGGGCCGTATATACAGTGGCGTAGCAGGGTGTTTGGCGCCCGGGGACAAGATTCCCGCCCGGGGACAAGATCCATTTTTAGCGCCCCTTTTTCTTTTTTTTTCAACTCTCAAACCCATTATTTTCATCAATAAAATAATATCAAAGCGCATTTTGGCGCCCCTAACTAGCTGGCGCCCGGGGACATCTGTCCCCCCTGCCCCCACCACGCTACGCCTCTGCGTATATATATATATATATATATATATATATATATATATATTTCCCAGCCATCAGCCAATTCTATCACGAGACAATATATAAAATATGCAATGCAAAGTTTCCCGTAATATAATTTATGAATACAGTCATCTGATTTAGACATCGCTGTTATGATCACATTAACATCATGAGAGCCCGCTTTCACGGCAGCATTTTTAATTAACGGTCAAACAAGTCATTTACATTAGACTTGCCCCACCATGAGTAAGTCATGTTTTAGCTTTAAGGCAGGGCTGCCAGCTGTGAGAAACAGAAATTGACCTGAGGTGACTTGTCAGTTTAATCCCGTGATAACATTAGGGTGTAAGTAAAGATAACAACATTTCAGGCCTGCACAACTCAAAATGTAAGGCGGGCCATAGTACTTTATGAAAGTTTGTGCGGGGGCCAAAAGGAAATAGGACGGGGGGTGACTTCGCGGGCCGCAAAATGGGTGCTGGCGGGCCGCAAAATGGGTGCTGGCGGGCCGCAAAATGGGTGCTGGCGGGCCACAAAATGGGTGCTGGCGGGCCACAAAATGGGTGCTGGCGGGCCACAAAATGGGTGCTGGCGGGCCACAAGGCGTTTGAAGCCGAATGAAACGGGAAATAACCTATAATAAAATGTATCCAGGAGTGGTAGAGTGAGTGAGCGTTCCAATATAGACTTGCTGTAACTGGTCGTTTAGCTAAGAGCGGTGTTTCTCAAACTTTTCCAGGGCCCCTATCCCCTGTGTCTTTACTCATCAAATGCTCTCACTGAAATTTTCTATGCACGACCGTCCAGGTAAGGTTAATTACACATTTAAATTAAAATACCAATTTAACTTTTTACTGTAAGGTCTTTAATAATAAACTGCTGAACTTGATCCAGCGGTGTCGCAAATATTTAAGGGTCATTAATCAGCATCAGTTTTATATTACCAGCTAAACCAGGCCTGCACAACTCGCAATCTAAGGCGGGGCAGTAATACTTCATGAAAATCTTAAGAGTTTTTGCTCTATGGAGATTCCTCTTACACTCTAGGCTTTTATTGACTAGTTTGTTCTTTTTAATTCAACTTTTAAGTGTCCTTAAATGACCAATGTCCGAAACATACATAGAAGAAATGTTTTTTTTCGTAATGAGATTTGTATGGGTTCGTGTTATGATATCAAGTTTTATGTGTTTTAAACATACGCTGTTTATGTTGTGCAAATGGTGCGCATACAACAGGAATATGTTATCTCAAAGTTCTTACAGAAAATATCTAAGATTAAATATCACCATAAAATGGTAGCTATCTTAATATTTCAATGGCATGTAATACTTGTTTGAACTTGACGAGATAATAGTTATATTATTTCATCATTACAATTGTGTTTTGTTTTTCTTTTTCATTGTAGGTAAAGGGATATGTATAAGTTCATACATAAAATGTCTTTTCTGATCTTATATCAAGCATGCTGGCCTACTGTGATAGATGGACTTGTTCGATGGATGCCTTTTTCAATGTCTGAATCTGATAACATACAGCAAAACTTAATATTTCCTACTCTTAAATTTTTTTTTTTTTTTAAAATAAAGCTCACGTGAACTTAATTTGTCGAGAGTGCGCATGAAATTACATGACATTGTATGACATTTTATAACAGTACACTAACATTGTTGCATGGAAGACCAACATTCTGTTTACAATACCCATGCCCCCTTTTTTTGCCACCTTACTCCTTACAATCAACTTTTTCATGTCAATGCAAATCACAGGTAACTTTCACTTGTTCCATCTTAATCTAAAAATTGTCCCCTATCCTAATAAGATACACTGTTAACTTGACTTGTGACATAAAAATACAGGCCAGTGGCGTGGCGAAGGGGGGGCAGGCAGGGGGACAGATTCCAAACACTCTAGCTACGCCTCTGATACAGGCCACAGCACTGAGCCCAGGAATTCTTACTCTAAATTAGGAACAAGGTTCCTTCACTTTCTTTCTGTATGTCAGGCTATGGGCATTGCTTAATGGCCTGATTAAATTGAATGCCAAGAGACACACAAAGCATGTGCCCCAAATTTGAGGCACAAATGCCCCTCACATTAGACGCCAAGTAGACAGTACTGGTCTTGTTCACTTTAGGCAGTAGTTTGACGAATTTTTTCCCATTCAACGCGAGCCTAATTACAGACAAGAGACATTTCGTAAAGTAAGTGTGTTCTTAAAGCGGTCAGTAAAAAAAATATATTTACTATGTTATAATTAAAATCTTTTTTGGTATCTTTGAAACGACCAATATTTTGTGTGGATGTCTAGGTCATCTTCACAAGCAGTGTCTAAATAAAAAAAGCGTCCTAAATATATGCAAAATTGATACCTATGTAGTGCTTCCCCTATACCTAATGTAATATTTCACCCTTAACTTCATTCCTAATGTATTATGTCACCCTTCACTGAATACCTAATGTATTATGTCATCCACTTGATTCATTCCGTTTGAAGACAAAGCACCCACTTTGAACATTTTTTTAAAACACAAGATATTTCAGCCTTTCCCGGGAAAGAAAAGTGATACCAAAATTTATAGAACAGTAACATATTACTAAGTCCACCGTGGCGACTAGTCCCAAGCCCAGAAGCACAAGGAGGAGCAACAGCATTGCTCAAAACGTCCAAGAAAATAATCAAACGACCATATCCAGATAAAGGAGGGCTCTCCTTCCCCAAGACGTGGTATCGGGCCGTGCGGCCAAAGCAGGATCGTTTCGGAAGCTTCAAAGACGAGGAAAGACTTCGCACCAGAAACGGTCTAATCGGCCATCAGCGCCGAACAGAGAGAATCAGCAACATCACCACTCGGATTATTGCAGTGGTCATCATCGAATGGACGGAATAATCACCTGGTCAAACTTATCGACGGACGCATTAACATCTGTTTAAACTAATTGACGGATGAACTCAACACCTGGTCAAACTAATCGACCGACGGACGAGCTAAACATTTGGTCAAACTATTCGACGGAGGAATTCAACATCTGGTCAAACTAATTGACGGACGAACTGAACATCTGGTCAAACTATCCACACTTTACAATGTTACTTACAAAAGCATATTACAATATATTGTATTCTGAGGTTACAATGAATATAATTTATACGGAAAATTAAACGATCAGCAGATCTAGGACATCGAAACATCAGTCCACTAAACAGATCCATTACTTCACACACCTGCACCATTATTCACCCCTTATACATTGTTAATCTTTTATGTGTGTGCTCCTTATCATGGTTAAAGATTAATGACAAAGTGTTAACATAAGAAATTGTAATAAACACGCATTCTAATAAAAAAAATCTATAATTGATATAATGTTTTGAAGCATTTTTTTCGTATGGTGTTGAATATAATAACTGGTCCTGACAGAGGGTTGCCTTTACACCAAGCATTGTGACGTGTGTCCCCCCCCTCCCCTTTTTTTTCTCTGCCTACCTGTCCAACCTAAGACTTCGCACCATTTCCACAGCCTGCTACATCCACTCAACATTATCAATAAAGACAGTAAACAATATATAAATATTTTAAATAATGTTTTATAAAATAATCGAAATTTACATTAAAAAGACACCAAAAAAAAAAAAACTACAAAAAAAAAACAAAAAAACAAACTAAATTTAATTTCACATTTTTTTAAAATCTAAAATTTAAATAAAAGTCCAATAGAGAAATATCTTTTTAAAAATGTTAATTAATAATAATAAATAATGTGTTTTAAATGATATCATTTTTTTTCCGTTTCCATCAAATTCCCTACCCTTAAGTTGTGAACTATACGCTCAAAATATTGGATAAATAATTTTCAACAGTCCTATCTTAAGTCTAAAGTAAAGTCTAAACCAAAGTCTAAACTAAAGTCTAATCCAAAGTCTAAACTAAAATCTAAAATAAAGTCTAATCTTAAGTCTAATCTAAAGTATGTTTTCATAGACATGTTTGAGCACAGCCAGCCTAGAAGATTTCCGCAAACGGGTTCTGACACATGCTTTTCTCGAGCGGGTAGAGACAGTAGCCCCGGGCCACGTTGACACAGACCATGTTGTTGCAGCATCTTGTCTCCTGGGGGACCCAGGCCATCATGTAGTTGGAACATGTGTGTGTGGTGGAGGGGATGAAGGAGATATTGACACGTTTTAAACATCAGTCATTTATCGGTTGGGTACAAAATTGAGTCGAAATTATAATGTAGGAGAAAAGACCATTGAGACTGAAAAAAATCCGATGCACATATTAGGATATTTGTATGTTAGAAGAGTGCACATAATGTATATTGCCTATACCGCAATCTGGTTGTGAAAACTTCTGGATAACATAATGTGTGCACAAATGCCATATAATAAGTAATGTATATGTATACGTCGCTAAATACACGTTTAATGATAAAACAATATATGAATATAACTTTTTAAAAAAAAATAAAGCAATAAGACTAAAAACGCTTCACGCATTTCAAAATGTTCCATTTGACAGAGTTTCCATCTGCAGCTACACTTCAGTGGTGAGAAACTGTTCAGTTTGAACATCTGAGGTTTTAGTTTTTAAAGAAAAAAAAAATCGACATTGTAGCCATTTTCCTGTCTGACCGTCTAATCTTCATTATATCAAGAGTTAGGGTTAGGGTTATGGTTAGGGTTATTTTTTTTTTTCTTCTCTTTTTTTTTTCTTTCATTTTTAGGTATACGTGGGATATGCATAAATTATGTAAATTTAATTTATACTCGTATTAATGATTTTGTTGTACTGATGATGGCGTTTGCCGAAACGTTTGAATTTGTACTTTGTCTAAGCATAATTAGAACCTAGACTATTGTTTCATTTACACAAATGTTTTTCGCATCTTCAATCTGCCGAGCAGTTTTATCACAGTCCAATCTTATAATAAACGCCAATATATGAGAAGGAGACTTCAAATCAAGATTTTTTTTTTTTTTTTTTTAAATTTCATGTTTTAAAAATCAAACCCAACCACCCCCCCCCCCCAAAGCTAATAAAATAAATAAATACCATCAGATGAGATTAAAAAATTGAATGCACGTATGATCTAAAAGCTGCTCTTTCAACAAATAAAAGCTGAACCTGACTGGCGATACAGTTGATTGAATTAGGCATGAATGAACTCAAATCAAGGAAATAGTTCACGTGAGGATGTTAACACTCGTCTTATTTAAACCAAACAAAAACAACAACAACACCACTATTGATATCAATCCGCTGTAAACGATGTCATGGTATGGTTAGACTCAAGTTTCTCCAGAAAATGTGCACATTGATTATAAGCTGTAATTAATAGTAATTAGTCCATATTTTTAAACGGCTACACGGACTAACTTATGAACACATAAAGATGGATTGTAAAGTATACAAGGGTTAACAAGACAACTTGCCATGATTTGCTATGAGAGGATACTAAACATTTTAACTCATGGAACACGTCTCACAATTGTTTTAATCTTGCAGTTATTCCATATTGGAAGCTCCAAAGAACGACCTTCCACCGTCGACGTTGAGGTGCTGTCCGGTGATGCCGACAGCGTTATCCGAGACGAGAAAGACAACCGCGTCGGCAACGTCTTCGGCGGAGCCCTCATAGTGAGGCAGGGCCACGGATTTCTTTTCTTTGTTGATCCAGTCGACGGCTGCCTGGGTGTGTTCATAATCCCTTCCTATCCTAGTCGGGATGTGCGCTGGGTTGACCGTGTTCACCCGGATGCCTTTAGGGCCGAGTTGCACCGCCAGACAGTTACACATGTGCTTGACTGCGGCCTTGGACACGGGGTAGATGATGTCGGGGACCAAAACTAACGAGTTCAATACGGAAGAGACACAGAGGATGTTTCCTTTGGTTTTCTCGAGATGAGGCAGGGCGTCCTGGATTAGAAAGAATACAGCTTTGACATTGGTGTCCATCGTCTTGTCGTAAATTTCAGGTGTTGCGTCTCGAATCGTCGAACCGGGAACGGAAACACCCGCATTGGCTATCAGGATGTCCAGCTGCCCGAACGCCTCAATAGTCTTGCCAACAATATCTCTTCTGCAATCCTCTTCGTTCAGATCCCCTCGAACAGTGATAAACCTCTCTTTGTGTCCTCCACTGACCTCAACAGCCCTGTCCAGCACCGTCTTCAATCTGTCTGGATCGCGTCCACACAAGGAGACTCTTGCTCCCTTGACAGCTAAACTAATGGCGATGGCCTCCCCTATTCCAGAACTCGAGCCAGTCACTATCGCAACCTTATCCTTAAAATACGAACTCATCTTTTCAAAGTTTTGTTTGAAGAGTAGAGAAATCAAATATCCCTACAAATCAAAAACAATGTTCTTCAACACAGTCGTCCTTGTGAAAGTAATCGTTAGATTAAAATTGAAGGAATGGCTTTTATCATACAAAATTCATTTCTTTATATTTTAAATGAAAAAGAAATTGTAACAACCAACGAATACAGGACGAGTTTATGAAAAATGTTAACTTATATAATAGCCTTGCTAAACTAGATCGTCGTTTACGTTTATGCAAATGAATTGGACACCAGATGTCGCTTGACTTATTTGGAATTGCAACGTATGTGTACGATGCCAATCATTTTTAATAGCTTTATTGTCGTCAGAAATGACAATTATGGTGCGCCGCAGAGTGTGAACGATATGATCACACTTCATCGATAAAGAGCAACGGCGGCTTTATGCCGGGATGCAGACTACTTATCATATATGTTAAGTACAAACCTTCATAATTATAGTAGGTCCCCTGTGACCTCCAATGATCCCTGAGTGACATCATGAACGGACATTGATAGGGACATCGGGTTTTCACTACACCGTTTCTTATTACAAAGTTAGGACTGCGTTTTAGCCGTGTGAAGGAAATTAGTAGAGCAAGGTATGTGGAAGCTGGAAATAGTAGAGCAAAGTATGTGGAAGCTGGAAATAGTAGAGCAAAGTATGTGGAAGCTGGAAATAGTAGAGCAAGGTATGTGGAAGCTGGACATAGTAGAGCAAGGTATGTGGAACCTGGAAATAGCAGAGCAAGGTATGTGGAAGCTGGAAATAGTAGAACAAGGTATGTGGAAGCTGGAAATAGTAGAACAAGGTATGTGGAAGCTGGAAATAGCAAAGCAAGGTATGTGGAAGCTGGAAATAGTAGAGCACGGTATGTGGAAGCTGGAAATAGTAGAACAAGGTATGTGGACGCTGGAAATAGTAGAGCAAGGTATGTGGAAGCTGGAAATAGTAGAACAAGGAATGTGGAAGCTTAAAATAGTAGAGCACGGTATGTGGAAGCTTGAAATAATAGAGCACGGTATGTGGAAGCTTGAAATAATAGAGCACGGTATGTGGAAGCTTGAAATAGTAGAGCACGGCATGTGAAAGCTTAAAATAGTAGAGCACGGCATGTGAAAGCTTAAAATAGTAGAGCACGGTATGTGAAAGCTTGAAATAGTAGAGCACGGTATGTGAAAGCTTGAAATAGTAGAGCACGGTATGTGAAAGCTTGAAATAGTAGAGCACGGTATGTGAAAGCTTGAAATAGTAGAGCACGGTATGTGAAAGCTTGAAATAATAGAGCAAGGGGCGTGCTCCCTCACCCCCACCCCCGGAGAAAATTGAGTACAACTTTAAAGTAAAACTGTTAGCCTATTGTTATTTTATTTCAAAACGTTTAACAGAAATCGCTCACCAAATGTTAGTGGGAACTAGCAACAATTTAAAGTAGTAAAACGTTGCAACCCAAAACACCGAGGTGGTCTAAATATTTGATGATTCCGAATATTTAAAGCAAATCTAAATAAGGTATTCGATTACAAATAATTGAAATCGTTTTGATTAAACCCAGCTTCCCAACGATATATATCTGAAATAGTTTTAAGTTCATTGTTTTTGTCCATGTGCTGAAAATGAAAACTGGGCAACGTAATTAAAACACATTTCCATCTAGTTTTATCAATAAACATGTATCGTATCTTAATCATCAAACACTGACGGTCTGTTCAAAATGTTCTACTTCTTGATAAAAATGCGATCAGCTTTTCAAATGCGGTGGGTTATAAATATAACCTTTCTGTAAAAATGAAATCGTTATTTTAAATGTAGTTGATTCCATGGGTTTTGGGTTAAGGGTTATGCCGCTCTTAAATTATATAAAAGCGCCCCCCCCCCCTTTACGTATATAACAGTGTTACGTGTTTAAATCTCTTGCGGACACACGAGCTCCAGTGGAGTTAGGCTTAAAGGTCTCTTATCATTCAACATACTTGGGCCCTGATGGATACAAGTCAACAGCAACCAAACAAGATTTCATTGTTGTTTTGTGGATATGCTGACCTTGAACTTGAAGTCCAAATAATTAAAACTGGGTCAAACAAGGAAAATTAAATAATGTCATATTTTTGAAATGCGCATTTATTGGCAACACATTATTTAATATGGGCATTTAAAAAGATATGAACCAAATAAAAATAATGAATAAAAAAGAACAAAAAAAAAACAAAAAAACATATACAAACAAAATACACAAGGATAATTTCAAGAAAGAAATTGATTTCATTTTATCCATATGCTGTATTGTTATGGGATGGCTTTTATGCAGCATTGTTATAGGGTGGCTTTTATGAAGTAAGTTATAGAGTGGCTTTTATGCTGTATTTTTATGTGGTGGCTTTTATGCATTATTGTTTTAGAGTGGCTTTTATGCTGTATTTTTATGTGGTGGCTTTTATGCATTATTGTTTTAGAGAGGCTTTTATGCTGTATTAATATAGAGTGGCTTTATGCAGTATTATTATAGGGTGGCTTTTATGCAGTATTATTACAGAGTGGCTTTTATGCAGTACTGGTATAGTGTGGCTTTTATGCAGTATTGTTATAGAGTGGCTTTTATGCTGTATTAATATAGAGTGGCTTTTATGCTGTATTAATATAGAGTGGCTTTTATGCAGTATTATTATAGAGTGGCTTTTATGCAGTACTGGTATAGTGTGGCTTTTATGCAGTATTGTTATAGAGTGGGTTTTATGCTGTGTTGTTATAGGGTGGTGTCACATGATATGAATAGATGGGAGATAAGGAATACGGGCGTTATTACTTACGTAATATAAAGAGTATTGGGACTTAGAGAAAATGGCCGATCAGAGGAGAGCAAGGAGGGAAATAATAAATGGCTGACGAATAGATAGCTATGTAAGAAGGTTTGGTCATAGTGTGATAACATTTACTAATTAAAGAAGTTTACCGAGAAGATAGTGTTGAAATCCGTAATGTGATACATTCCCAGTGTGTTCGGATTGAGGATGTTCGGCATTAGTCTTTGCTCGTATCTCAAGTAAGAACTATTATTATTGTGATCGTGCGTAATAAAGTTTTAGTCACTTTCATTAATCATTTGAAAAAATACGCCTCTGTTTTAATTTAAAAGGCATTGTGCTTCGTTTGTGACTGTGACAAGATTGTGACAAGGGGCTTCTAGCACGAAATTGTGGTTGCCGACCACCCGCTACAGCGCATAGCATATTGCAACAACAACAACAACAACAAAAAAAAAAGCTAACTTATGTAAAAATGTGCAATTATGTCTTTTATTCTCCAAAAGCTTTAGTTGAGTTGATGGCGTTAAACGGTTAAGACAATTTTAATAGGGTTGAACTGTATTAGCATTCTTGAATCTTCGGCAACAACACTTATTTTATTTTTTTGACTAAGTTGCATTTGAGCCTGGATGTGTGAAAGATTTAAAACTTCGTTTTTCACACATTTAATCATTTCAAGACGACTGCAAAACGTTGGATGGCCGAAATGTGCCTCGTTTCATTAAAAAAATATAAACAAATAACCTAATTCAGACAAAGATTCCATAGAAGCCACTTTTTCTCTTATATGTGTAAAAATAAATAATAACAATAATACAAAAAAAAACAACAACTTTATTTGATTTTTTTTTTTACATTGAGAACTAAAATAAGGCAACGATTTCATTAAGAATATAGTTTCGTACCTTAATAAACTTAAATTTGGATTAAACCAGTGTAATAGTTTATAACATAATTCAGTGCAGGGCCTTAAGAAGGAAAAAGTTGCAACAAGAGCAGCGTCTATAAGTTGAGATTTCAAATCAAGAGGAAAAAACATTGTGGCTAGGACTTAAACCAGTATTTTAAGTTCACAAATTCAGAACTACAATTTTACAAAGCAATCAATTAATAGCCATTAATGTTGGACCGATAACAGGAAATTAAAAAAAAAAAATCATAACACTTCTGTAAAAAAAATTCCCTCATTCACGTAAATATTATTTTTTTCTAAGATTGTTGAACACTAATACTTCTTTTCATCAGAGAGAATTTTTTAAAAATTTCTTTAATAAATAAAACTGGACTCAAATTAGAAAGCAGCTAGTATACTCACACATCTTATCAAATTTTTATAAAATATTAAATTAATAACCATTGTAAACTCATTTTAAATATACTTGGAAGAAATGGTTAGCCTTTTGATAAATATTACGCACTGTGTTTTTAAAAGGGAAAAATGCCCCTGCTTCACGACATTCAACCGAAGTGCTCCTCAGTGTTGACAGTTTTATATTGTTTTTTGAGAAGTTCCGAACGTCCCGCAGAAGGACCTGCCCCCGTCCACTTTCAAGTGCTGTCCAGTGATGAACCCCGCCGCATCTGAGGCTAGAAAAGCTGCTGCCTCAGCGACGTCTTGGGCTGTTCCTGTCCGGTCTTTTAATGGCTGCACGGCCAACTCCTGTTGGGCTAATGCCAAGGCGATGGCCTCGACGTTGGGGTCGAAGGCTCTTCGTATTCTTGTTGGTATGTGAGAAGGGTTCACAGTGTTGACCCTGATTCCTTTAGGACCAAGCTCCACGGCTAGACAACGAGCCAGGTGGTCAATGGCAGCTTTGGACATGGGGTAGACGATTAACGGCACCCCTGTCAGGGCGCTGAGCATGGAAGATACGAAAACGATGTTGCCTTTGCTTTTCTCGAGGCTGGGCAGGGCGACCAGAACGAGGAAGAATACGGCCTTGACATTAATGTCCATGACCCTGTCATAGAGCTCCGGCGTGGCATCACGTATTGTTGCGTGTGGAACAGAGACGCCGGCATTGGGTACAAGAATGTCCAGTTGTCCGAAAGCTGTGACCGTCTCTTCCACAATTCTTTTCCTGATGACCTCGTCCCCGACATCGCCCAGGACGGTTATAAACCTGTCCATGTGTCCACCACTGACCTCCACTGCCTTGCGAAGAACCGACTGCAGTCTGTCGGGGTTACGGCCGCAGAGTGTGACTTTGGCTCCTCTTGAGGCAAAAGTGATGGCGATGGCTTCCCCTATCCCGGAGCTCGAGCCTGTTACTATGGCAACCTTTCCGTCTAGTTGAGTGCTCATTGTTGTTTAAAGTTTGTAAAAAAACTTCCTACGGAAGATGCGTGCAAAAGTAACAGTTATAGAGCTTGAAAATAAAAAGCAATTAATGCTCCTTAGTACAAAGCATATTCACCTCACCACATGAAATCACAAGGATCCACTGTCGTTAGCTTACTCAAATCCTTGAGAAGATTTAAAAACCTATTTGCCAAACTTATTCAAGCTAAATAGCTGGACCTACTTATGAAAACTTTTATATATTTATATTTCATCTGTAAGAAATAATACCAGACTGAGATCCAACAATCATATATAAGTAATTATGAATGAGAATTTACTACCTTTAGTATATTCTTTTTAACCTGGGCCAAGAAAGTTCAGAAATGCAATAAGATCTTTAGACGAGTCTTTCTGTGTATCAATGAGTTGCTTTGGGGTATAGACTAAGTTATCTAGCGCGAGCTTACATTTAAGCCTCTCATTTGCTGAATGCAAGTTTAAGAGCAGCATTTTATTTGAACTGATAAAGTAATGCATTCCTTTAAAAAATGTATTATTATTTTTATTATGTATATTTATGCATCAACTTTTCCTGGAACCAGCATAGTGGCTGATATCTTGTTCACATTACGTATTAATGCTTAATGACGTTTGGCTCAGTTAGCTTTTGGAGACAGTGGCGTAGGAAGAGGCGGTGGATGGGACAGGACTTTTATTTGGAAAGTATGGTGGGGGATGGTGCAGGGGCTTGCATTTTCAGTCCACTCGGTGCCGGCTCTGAGTACAGGCCATCTAGGTGGCCGTCTAGAGCGCCATGTAATCAAATGATGGCACATTCCATGGACAAATGGTTGATATATCCAGTGTAGTGTCAAACATAATTCAACAATACCTCGCAGCTTTTATATCAATGACAAGAATACAATTCACGTGATCTGCAAGGAAATTTATAAGTTCATGTTGGATTTCTGTTTAAGGGCAAGACGCGGATGCTTTTACTGTAGATGTACTCTTCTTTAGTCTCATTAGGTCTCATTTAGTAGAGGGTCATATTTAGAAAGCCCCTCAACCATTTCAAGAAAGTTTCCTCTATTCAATGAAGATTCATCTTCTTTGTGACCACGAAATGCCAGATTTTGCGTTGCAAGAGACAATTTGATATCCAGCAACCTTTGCAGGATATACCTTCCATTATTCGTCTCCCTTCGATTGCAGAAAAACTTTCGGCATCAATTGTAGGTGCTCTTCAGATGCCTAATGATTTTGTAATACTGGGTTCAGTGCCCGCCACTTATCAAATCCAGTAACAAATTTGGATGTTTGTTTCTGTGACATAACATAAAACGATCTGCTGCCAAAACAGTACAATTTCTGACGTATGAGAGATTAAACCATCCACCACCGGAGTATTTCTTAACATTTGGCATCATCATGTAAAACTATTGTTTTGTCGCACACTTCCTTTAGAATTAGCATGTTGCCTTGTCACTCAGCTGAAGGGTCCATCCTTGTTCTGAAAAAAAATGAGATAATCGTGAATATTAATAAATAAACATCTAATATAGGGGTCTCAAACTCAAGGCCCGCAAGCCATTTGTGACCCGCAAGACGATATTTTGCGGCTACATGACAGAAAAGTTTTGTGTTAATGCGCCATCGTTTCACCCATTCTCATATATATAACGTGACTCTCCGCGACGGTTTCAGTTGAATTTCACCGACCAGGCTAATTCTGATTTTTTAAAATGTTTCTATATATTTTTTTATGATGATTTTAATGGAAAGAACCGTTTTAGACTCGGACTAAAAGTTTTTATTGTATAGCTTTTTATGAGACAAACATGGCAAAGAGTGCGGCTTTGAGAAAAGTTTTTAAAAGTAAGTTGGCGGGTAATGCATAACCTTAATTGTGTAAATCGTAGCAATCTGATACATTATCAAAGGATCCATATTAAAATTGTCGCTAGTATTTACGAGTAGGGTAAATTCCGAGCCTGTCAGCTTGGTCACCTTCTAAATCTGCTTCTTATGCCTTTTTACCCAGTCTGGGTCTCTACATTTTTTAGACTTCAAAACACAGACAGCCACTTTTGAGCTTTTTGCTGACCTTTTCTCCTTTAATGTGCAAGATGCCCCACGCTGAATGGAAAAACAGACAAGCATGGACATTTTATTTCATTGCCCTCCACCTTCCCTGAAATTTTTAGGTTGTTCAAGCGGAACATACGACTTTTTTGGGAGTACCTATCGGTGTGAACAGCTCTTTTCCACTATGCACTTTAACAACTCAAAGTTCAGGACCAATCTTACTGATGAGGATCTTCAAGCTATACTGAGAGTCTCAGTTGCTTCCTCACTCAAGCCAAAGTTGCTCAGCTGTGTAAAAAGAAGCGCTGCCAGGTCTCTGGCAACAGTGAGTAAGTGGAAGAAAGTGAATCCTAGTTCTTGAGAACCCTTAATGTTTTTATATCCATTTATATAGGTTGAGCAGATTGTAACAGTTGTAATCGCTTTTTTGTGTGGAATAATTGATACGGGCCACTCTCACTCAGACACTACCTCCTGCTGCCCCCTGATGATTTGAGTTTGAGGCCCTTGATCTAATGAATACTTTGGATTTTACCATTCTAATATATAAAAGTAATTTAAATTGCTTTACAATTTTTTAAAAATTAGTATGTATGATAAAATTTGGCAAAAAATGGGAAAAGGGGGGGGGGGTAGCAAAATTAATGCAAAATAGACTCTTGAAGGCCTTGCTTTTATAATATAATTACAATCTAGAAAATATACCTACATCAATTATTGTGGCTCTAATAGAGCCAATAGCTAATAGTCATTGAGGCTATAAAAATATCACGACCATGTTTCGCTGTGTTCGTATTACTAATGCTTTGTGTTTTCATTAATAGCTTGCAAGATGTCACTGAATTAATATTCAACCTCTTAAAGATCGGTTAGTTTGTTCATAAAGATCTGTGAGTTTGTTCATAAAGATCGCTTTATTTGTTCTTAAAGATCGGTTAGTTTTTTCATAAAGATCGCCTGTTTTTTTTAAAAGATCGCTTAGTTTGTTGTTAAATATGATTTAGTTTGTTCAAAAAAGATCGCTAAGTTTTTTCTTAAAGATCACTTAGGTTGTGTTATTAAAAGATCGTATAGTTTTTTCATTAAGTATTGCTTAGTTTATTCTTAAAGATCATTGATTTTGTTCTTAAACATCGCTTATTTGTTCTTAAAGATCGCCTGTTTTTTTTAAAAGATCGCTTAGTTTGTTGTTAAATATGATTTAGTTTGTTCAAAAAAGATCGCTAAGTTTTTTCTTAAAGATCACTTAGGTTGTGTTATTAAAAGATCGTATAGTTTTTTCATTAAGTATTGCTTAGTTTATTCTTAAAGATCATTGATTTTGTTCTTAAACATCGCTTATTTGTTCTTAAAGATCATTTAGTTTGTTGGTATAGATCTTTTAGTTTGTTATTAAAAATCGTTTAGTTTGTTCTTAAAGATCGATTATTTTGTTGTTGAGATCGCTTAGTTTTTTCATAAAGATCGCTTAGTTTGATCTTAAAGATAATTGATTTTGTTCCTCAAGATCGATTAGTTTGTTCTTAAAGATCTTTTATTTTGTTCCTAAAGAACATGTAGTTTTCTATTAAAGACTGTTTAGTTTATTCTTATAAATCATTTAGTTTACTAATAAAGATCATTCGTTTTGTTCTTAAAGATCATTTAGTTCGTTCTTAAAAATCGTTTAGTTTGTTCTTTAAGATCGTTTAGTTTGTTATTAAAGATCGTTTAGTTTGTTCTTAAATGTCGCTTAGTTTGTTGTTAAATATCGTTTAGTTTGTTCTCAAAGATCGCTTAATTTTTCTTAAAGATCACTTTTTTTGTTTTTAAAGATCGTTTATTTTGGTCTTAAAGATCGCTTAATTTGTTCTTAAATGTTGCTTAGTTTGTTGTTAAATATCGCTTTCACTGAGTATTAGATGACGAAAACCTGAGTCACTTACGGCCGGATGGCCGAAAGTCTAAGTCAAATTTCAAAACCGAAGCCGAAGCCGAAGCCGAAATTCAGTCGGTCTCTTTACCCAACATCAGTGGCGGACACATAGAAAGAACAACATATTAAAATATTAGACCCCATGACAAAAAAACAAACTTTGTGCATGTTCTTATTACTGTCCTATACTCTATATTCTGCTAAACATGGTTCAACTCTGTGTATCCGGGTACCGTCCCAACCATGAATCCCCCTCGGGCTTTCACCGATCTTACATAAATTGAAATATCCCCTTAGCTTTTTTTTTTTTTTTTTTTTTTCCCACAGGATGAGATCGGAAGACCACNGGGATGACACATCAAGTGGCTCAAACAGTGTTTAAAAAAAAGGCAAACCAAGAGGCCCCTCGCTTGTCTAAAATACACTGTTGGGGAACGGTTAGTAATACCTTATATTCAGTGAACGAATGATTGGGGGGGGGGGGTGGGAATGCTACATGTCGAAATACTTAGTGAGAATAGCAATGAGAACCCTTTGTTTGACTGAGACATTAAGGAATAATACTAAAGAGGGCACCATACGTTGGGCAGAAATACACAGTAGAATACCAATAGGAGACATTATAGTTAACTGGAATACGTCACGAGAATAACAAAGGGTGTATCATACTTTAGGCCGAAATACGCAGTGAGATAGCAAATGGGGCACCATATAATATGTTCGCCTGAAATAATTTGTGAGTATAGCCCATGTGGACGTAACTTTTTTTTTAGCTATAATCATCATCATCATCAATGGCACTACAGCCCATGTAGGGCCCTGGCCTGCTCCACCACATCCTTCCATTCGGAGCGATCCATGGCTTTACTTCTCCATGCTCGAACCCCCAACTGGTGTAAATCTGTCTCCACATCATCAATCCACCTCATCCTTGGGCGACCGATGAGTCGTCTGCCCCTAGGCTTCTGCCTGTATATGATTTTGGCTGCTCTGCATTCCGGCATATCGTAGACCACAT